CTCAAGGCCTTGACCAAGGCTTTGACTTGACTCTCCCCTGCAATCATCTCTAACTCTTGCTTTGATTCAGCCCTTGATACATATATTGCTTTTTTTTGAGACAGGGTCTTGCTGTATAACCCAGGTTGGCTTGGAACTTGTGATCATCCTGTCTGAGCTTCCCAAGTGTTGTGATTACAGGCTTTCAACAGCACATCTGGTTTTTAGTCTTTGACACTTGAGCCCCTGGTGACTTTCTAATTTAGTTCTTGAGCCACCCCCCCCCTTATTTTTTTACAATACTGGGGATGGAACCAAGGGCATCTTGTGTACCAGACAAGCACTGTACTACTGAACTACAGCCCCAGCCCAGGACAGGAGTCTTTGTCTTTTCTTTTTTTTTTTTTTTTTACTTCTTTCTAGGTTTTGACCCTTGATTCCTGATGATCTCAGTCCATTCCATCCCTGACCCAATCCTTGACTCTAGGAACCCTGGTGACCCTTACCCCTGAGCCTCCCAGGATACTTCCACTCCACGATGCTGATGCAGGACCGCCGAAGGGGATTGGCCAGGGTGAGGCAGAAGAGTGCCCGTGGTGACCGTTGGGCACTGGCCACTGCCACTGTCTTGTGCTTGTTATGCTGGGTCCTTCGCCTAGGGGTCTCCAGGCCTGATGCCCCATTGATATCACCTCCCACAGCAGGAGGCCCTGGGTACAGCCCCCATTCGGGACTAGGGCCTGACCCATTGGCTGGAGTAGGCTCTAAGGCAGTGTCTGTTTGGAGATACAGAGTGAGGGAGGGGTGAGATATTGGAGCGATCATAGCAGCTTCCTACTTGATCCTATCCCTCTGTTTGAAGGACTAAGAGAAGAGCATGCAAAGTTAGGGAGAGTTGGGGGTACTTGGGTTAAGGATTGAGAAGTAAGAATTAGTGTTTGGATTAAGATTAAGGTGGAGTGAAATGTATAGGAAACTGAAGGTGAGAGTTTGTTTCCAAGTGAAGCAGGGCTTAACTGGGGAAGAGGTTCAATTGCCATGCAGTGGGCTTAAATTTACAGCTGGAGGCAAAATTTAAGGTTAAATTTGAGTGGAGGATTTTGGGTCAGGATGGGGTTGGATTAAGACATAGGAGAGTGGAGCTTGGTAGATATTTAAGGTTAGGACTAGGTATTTGAATGAGTTGTGATTAGAATCAGAGTCAAGGTTAGGGTTGAAGTTGCATTTTAAATGGGATTTGAGTTTTGTATTGGAGTTTTTAGCTAAGTCCATCTCCAGATCCTATGGCCTTGTCTCAGCCTCTGAGGGTCAGTGGGTTGGCCTGGTTAGCATTCCTAGCTTCATAGGAAATAAGCTCTCTAAGTTTAAATCCTGACTCTGAGCCTCAATTTCCTTATCTGTATAATGGGGAGGATAAAAATGGCACCTGTTTTATGAGGGTGTTGTAAGGATAAAATGAGTTCAGCGTTTCAAAGAATGCTTGGCAGGTGGTATTATTACCATTTGAAAGATGAGGAAATTGAGGAAAAAGGTTAAGTGAGTTGATGAAGCGGCTAAGTTGGGAGTCAAAGCTTGGCAGTTTGACTCCAGAACCCTCCCAGTTTACTACCACCATCAGGTGAAGGTTCTTGCCCTATATTCATTTTAAAACAGGGGCTTGTGCTCTTTCTGGAAATTCAGAGAGCATAGTCTCTGGCATCTAGAGGTGGAGGTGGACGTTAGGTGACTTTCGGGTTCATGGTAAGGTCTGTAACCAGCGTAGGGTTTGCCTTCTGGTTCGTAGGGTTTATGTTAGGATTCATTTTGGGGCTGGATTTGGTGTTAGAGTTGGAGTGGGTGCTAGGATAGGGGTCAGGGGCGGGATTGAGGTTGTTTTCATTTGAGAACTAAGGCTGGGGTTGGGAATGAGGGGCCATCAGGAACAGCATCTATGTCAGGCTGAGTGTCTGGGCTCAGGTAGCTAAGAGGCTGTGTTTGGGGCTGGCTGGACTAGGAAGAGGGAGATGTGATTTTGGTCCCCTGAGGCTCTCTGTGGGGAAGATCCAGGAGGGCAGTGGGTGGGTTAGAAGGGTGAGGGTGGAGAAGAGCTCAGGCTTGAAAGGGTCTGCCAGGGTAGATAGATGTTCTCACCTTTCCTGCCTTCGGATTCCGACATCCTCCTCTCGAGACTGAAGGGCCATCTGCACACAGCCCCCCTTTCTTCCCCCAGCTTTGGAGAGATTAAGGTCACAGGGCGGGGCAATAACAGTGTCAGTTGGGAGGGTTGAGCAGGGGTGCAAATGGGACATGTGTGGGACAGAGCCTGGCAAAAGAAAAGGCAGTGATTAAATGTTTACTAGATAGATACCCACACCAAATAGTCTGAAATGAAAATAAAAAAAATATCGTTTTCCAATGTTATCTGAAATTTGAGGTATACAGGAAAAGGCTACCATATGGGTAATATCTCTATAGAAGAAAGAATCACATATCAAATATTAAAGAGGAACTAAATATGGAGAACTATATGACATTGGTTGAAATATTCAATATTGTGACGATGCCAATTCTTCCCAAAGCGATCTAGAGATTCAATGCAATCATAAACAAAATCTCAAAAATTTTTCTGTGGAATTTGAAAACTTGATTCTGAAATGTATATCAGTGTACAAAAGGACTTAGAAAAGCCAAATCCTTTGAAAAAAAATAAGATGGGAGGACTTGACATGTCGGATATCAAGATTCATTATAAAGTTACAGTAACTAGGAGGCCCTAGGTAGGAGGATTTCAGTTCAAGGCCAGCTTAGGCAAAAATGCAAGACCTTACCTGAAAATAACGACAGCAAAGAGGGCTCGGGGAATGGCTCAAGCGGTAGGGCATCTGCCTAGCAAGCAGGAGACCCCGAGTTCAAACCCCAGTACTGACAAAAAAAGAAGCTATGGTAACTAAGAACAGAAACTGAGCCACATATGCATACACATGATCTATGACAAATGTTAGCCCTACTGGGTAGTGGAGGAAACAGGATAGGCTTTTTCTTTCTTTCTTTTTTTTTTTTTTTTTGGGTGCACTGGGGTTTGAACTTAGGGATTTGCCCTTTCAAAGAAGGCACTTTACTACTTGAGCCACATCTCCAGTCCATTTTTATGGATGGGGTCTCTTGAACTATTAGCCTGAGCAGGCCTCAAACCGCTATCTTCCAGATATCAGTCTCCAAGAAGCTAGGCTTACAGGAGTGAGCCACTGGCGTCTGGCTGGTTGCCCTTTTTATTTTTGTGGCACTGGGGTTTGAACTCAGGGCCTCACACTTCCTAAGGCAGGCATTCTACCACTTGAGCCACTCCACCAGCTCTTTTTTCAGTTGAGCATTTTTTGAGATAGGGTCTTACAAACTATTTGCCTTGGCTGGCTTCGAACCGCGATCCTCCTGATCTTGGCTTGTCAAGTAGCTAGGATTACAGGCATGAGCCACCGGTGCCAGGCTCGCCCATCTTCTTGCTGAGCTTAACCTCCTTACCTAGAAAGTGGTTCTCTAGGAAGTCACAGAGATGGGGGTCTGTCTGGGTGGAGCCCAAGGCCTGAAGAACCAAAATGGGTTGGCTTAGGTTCGTTTCCAGGGTCAGGACGGCTCCCATGGCGTCTAGGGTTTTGCCCCACTCATCTTGAGAAGGCTTCTGCTCATCCTGGATGAGCACGGCCACCACGTGGGTTCTGCATCTTCAGGAGATTCTGGGTGCTCTCGCGCTTCTCCTTGGCCAACTCGCAGAAGTGGCCCATGCCCGCCAGAGTCACATCATCACGATCAAAGTAGCCCACCCAGAGAGAGGTAGATATGGGAGGAACGCAGGTGCGAATTGACCAGGCGGTTGACAGCAGCCTCCGCCTCGGTGGAATCATTCTGACGAATCTGGAAGGTCATGGTTGGTGGTCAATACGGACAGAGGTAACCTCAAGAAAACGGTGTTGGCTGGTCCTGGAAGGAGGACATGGGCGAGATGGTTCCAGAGGTTGTGACTGGAGAGGAGATTCGAAAGAAACTGGTGGCTGAAAGGAGAGTCTCCAGGTTTGTTCCATCCAAACACTGTAGAAGCAAGAAACAGATTCACGGCCTCTGGGTGCGCTCCTAGGATAGGCTTTTTAATAAATAGTGGTTTGCTGTGTCATTCTTTGGGGTGTACAAAATATGTATAACGTATCAAAATAAAGCATGTATCAGCTTTATTTTTTTTTTTGAGATAGGGTTTCTCTATGCAGCTCAGGCTTACCTGAAATTCTCGATCCTCCCGCTTCAGTTTCCCCAGTGTCGGGATTACAGGCATGAGACACCACGTTGGGCTTACATAGTGCTTTTTTTTTTTTGGTAGTACTCAGGGCCTCACGCTTTCTAGGCAGGCGCTTTACCACTTGAGTCACTTTGCAAGCCTTTTTTTGTGATTTTTTTTTTCAAAATAGGGTCTCGCGAACTATTTGTTTGGGCTGGCTTCGAACTGTAATTCTCCTGATCTCTGCCTCCTGAGTAGCTGTGATTACAGGCGTAAGACACCGGCGCACAGCACATAGCGTTTTCTTAATGTATTATGTGTCAGGCACACGTACTTTACATAAAGTAATTATTATTATTATTATTTTCCTTTTGAGACAGGATCTCGCGATCCCCTGCTTCAGCCTCCCCAGTGCTGGGATTCAGGTCCGGTTTAGGAATTGTGTTTTAATCCTAAGGAAGCAGGTACTATCAATAGTCGCATTTTACAGATAATGAAAGCAAGACACAGGAAAGCAGTCGCTTTGTGCTAAAACCCTAGTCCTGCATTTGTACATTTTTTGCAGCCTAGGAGATAAATACTACATTAAACAAAGACCTTCTCTGTTTCTCCCGTCCCTTCCCGGTACAGTTCCTTTTCCGCTTGGAAGAGCTCACGGGACTGCAGGTGGAAGAACTACAGCTTCCAGCAGCCATTGCGTCTCAAGCCTGCTCATTCACACCCTGCCTCCAGACATCTTCACTGCACCGCTCTCGGTAATAGAACTATACTTCCTAGTTCTCCCCGTGCGGCCATCGCGAGCGCGGGGGGCTGGGTTGCAACAGCTGCGCTCCACTTTCTCGGATCCGGTCCTGGATCCGGCCCCGATTCTGAATTGGCTGCACCATGGAGGAGGCCGACCGAATCCTCATCCATTCCTTGCGCCAGGCAGGCACGTAAGTACACAATCCCCACTCGCCTCCAAATGCTCACATCCGGGATTTCAAAACCTGGGACCCCCCTACCCCCCCACCACCCCGGAACCTTAAAACCCGGACCTTGACATGTATGGCTCCAATCTCCAAGATCCTAAGACCCCCTACCCCCACCTTCACCCAATTTACACCCTGACATCTGCCCAGACCGTTTGACCCCGGCATTTGGTAAACCAAAACTCTAGGACCTAGACAATCTGAGATATTGCATTCTTGAAGCCTCAAGACCCCAGGACCCTGAAATCTGTGGTCTTGATATTAGTACTCTGGGACTCAGCCACTTAAGCAATTTGCACCAGAGAACCAGGAAGCTTAAAACCCGAGAACTCTGGAACTTAGGGACTCCAGAGTCCCTGGGACTGGATACTTGAGTACCTTCAAACTTCAGTTCCCCAAGCACCATGGCTTTAAAAACACCAGGGTCCTAAAATCTGGCTGCATCAGCTCTTGGTCACCCTGACATACAAGGACTCCTCCATCTGAGGGCTCTAAAAGTCAAGAATGCTAAAATCTAGGGTGCCTGATTTCTGAATTGTTTGAAACTAGAAGGTGTGGACATTTGGATCCTGACATTTGAAACTCTTGAAAACCCTCACCTCCCAAACATGTAGTCTTCTCCAAAACGTAGCAGATCAGTATCTAGGAGTCTCTGACATGCAGAGAACATGATATCTGGGGGCCCAGAAATACAAAGGCCATGCCACCTGGGCCCTTTATCTTTCCCAGACCCCAGAAATTTGAGGTTTTGAAGCACAGGGGAAAATGGAAGTTTTTCTGAATTCAGGTCCCTTCCATCCACCATTCTCTTACACCTAAGTCTTAGGACCTGAGGATTTACTTAGTTCTCTGTTGTCCAAATGGAAGTCACAGTCACTAACATGTTTTGGAACTTAGGCATTGTCCTGTCTCCCCTCCCCCCAGTTCTGGGGCTTCCTTTTCCAGAAGGCTTTGTGGCCCAGCCTGCTCCCTGTTTCCTCAGTACTTTACCCCTTTCCTATTGAGTCTTCCCCTTTTTTCTTCAGGGCAGTCCCTCCAGATGTGCAGAACCTACGAGCCTTCACCACTGAGCTGGTTGTAGAGGCCGTGGTCCGATGCCTGCGTGTGATCAACCCTGCTGTGGGCTCTGGCCTCAGTCCCCTGCTGCCTCCAGCCATGTCTGCCCGGTTCCGCCTGGCCATGAGCCTGGCTCAGGCGTGCATGGTGAGTGCCTCCCTCCCAGTGCACACATTGTCTTCCTTCCTCCTTCTCAAAGTAACCAAGCGTCTTTGAAACTCTTGCCTTTCCTTTCTGCCACTCCTTTTTGTGGCTTAGCATTCACTAGTGGTTAAGGCTGCTGGCTATGTGGCCAAACTGTGTGAGTAGTTCAGACCCTAGCTCCACCACTTGCTGTGTGGACCTAATCCTTCTGGGCCTCAGTTTTCTTATCTGTGAGGTAGAGATGATAAAAGTAAGGTTGTGAGAATTAAATGAGTTGATGTAGTTTACACCTGGGGTGCTCCTATCTCTTACATTTTAAGCTTAGCATCAAGATTCTCCCCCTCCCCATAGTATTCATTTATTAGTTCCAGGAAAGGCCCTGATTAGGTCACATGTTCACTACTAGTCACTGTGAGCTCTGGTTAACCCAGCCCACATTACATGGCCATCTTATAGGACATTATGATTGGCTGCTTCTTCAGGATCCCATGGAGTTGGAGGGATGGCTATTCAAACAGAAGGTATGCTGGTTAATTAAAACAATGTCTGCTACGTTCATGTGTGGCAACTACGTGGATCCTGCTTCTCACAGCAGTTCCAAAAATATCTCTGTGATAGTCCAATGAAGGACTCACCCCTGTCCACTCCAGAGCTTTGGCCAATTATTGTAGTTAAGAGACTGGGAGTACTGCCATTTTTTGTGGGTCACTGGCTCTGTGACTTCAGGCCAGTCTCTAACTTCTTCATCCCAAGTTTTGGCATGTGTAGAAGGGGTGTAAGAAACCCTACCTACTGTAGGGTTTCTGTAAAGATTAAAATAAATTAAGGAACCAGGGGTATAGCTCAATTTTACGGTGTTTTGCATGTACAAGGTCCTGGGTTCAATCCCCAGAAGGGAAAAAAAAGTAAATGTGGAGTTAACCCATGAATAGCCAGATAGGCATGATCTGGCTTCTTTCATTCCAGCAACCTGTGGCTACATAGTGAGTTAAACATGTATGTATGTGGTGGCAGAGGGGCAGTAGAGTTATTCCTGCAGGAACTTCCATTTACACCAAGGGCGCAGGGTGCTCAGGGATGTGGATCTTGATTCAATGGTTGTGCAATTTCTCTCTTAGCACTAGGCCTATCGGCAGTGCTCATTGCTTCGCTTTCAGGTTCACCTAGCTGTCAGGAGTTCTCAGATTCTTCTGTCTGGGCTCTAGGTGGCCTTAAAAGGCAGGCAGTCTGTCCTTGGCTTGGGACTATGTCCTCTTGGATGGCACTCCTAAGGGAGATTTAGGTCTTCTGTTAGGTGTGGAATGTGCATGGTGGGAAGTGCTAAGGTAGGGTGAGGTTTTCCTGATCTCTCCTCTTCCCCCAACCCACCCTCCCCTCCCCTCCCCTCCCTTCCCCTTTCTTCTCTTCTCTTTCTCTTCCCTCCCCTCCCCTCCCCTTTCCTCTTCTCTTCTCTTAACACTGCCTGCCACCAGGTTTTATATTTCCCTACTTTGGCTCACACTAAACATCAGCAGGAGCAGAGAATCTGGCTTTTTCGATGGTGAAGAGATGGTTAAGAGATTGTTTCCAGCAGCGGGTAGAAAGGGTCTTTCTCACTCATCACTGCCACGATCTGGTCCTCTGCCTGTGCCCTGCTTCTGGTACCCATTTTTGTGCCTAAGCCAACTCCATATTTTGGCATCTATCACTGCACATACCCCTTTCTGGAACAACTTTCTGTATCAGTCACAACTCTTTGATTGCAAATGTCGGAAAAGAACCAAAGTAAAGTAGCAAAAAAGCCAGTGTTTTCTCACATCTTTTTGACCACCACCCTCCATGCTTTCTTTTTCTCCAGGCCTGTTTTCTAGTCTCATTCAGAACTCTTGGGAGTATTTTATTCTGAGCTATTGTGTAGCTGGTATTTTCTTTTTTGCCTGTTTATTTTATTTTAGTTTTTTGCGGTGCTGGGGATAGAAGTCAGAGCTTGGTGCACTCTAGGCAAGTGTTCTACCCCTGAGCCACATCCCAGCCCTCCTGTTTATTTTTAGGCACTCTTTATATATAGGTAGATTCACTGTCTGTGATATGGACTCCAGACGTTTTTCCCAAATTACTGTTATTTTGACTTTCCTAATTATATTTTTCTTGAAATTGTTTACTTTTCAGGTAGGAAGAAATCCCATCTTCTCTTTTGTAGCTTCTGGAGTTTGAGCCATAGTTAGCAAGGGTAGAGATTTAATGTCCTTTCTAGCTTTCTGTAGCATTGGCTGTATTCACACTGTGACTGCCCTGGGACCTGGAGGTCTTGGGAGTTCACGGGGAGGTTGAGAGTGTGGTGGTTGGTAAGAGAGTGGGAGCAGGTGTAGCCTAGGCCCAGGGCTCCCAGTGCAGGAGGAGCTTACCTGCCTGGCTGATAGGGGCCTACCTCCCCAATCCCAGGCACTGCCACCTGATTAATACCTGATAACCCCCAGGACCTGGGTTATCCCTTGGAGCTTGGCTACCAGAACTTCCTATACCCCAGTGAGCCTGACCTCCGGGACCTGCTTCTCTTCTTGGCTGAGCGCCTGCCCACGGATGCCTCTGAGGATGCAGACCAGCCTGCAGGTGGGTGGGGCTGAGGTTGGAGTGTGTTCCTGAGACTGATGGGTAGGGGTGGGGGGGCATTTTCAGGAGAGCTCGGTGAGAGGGTTGGGGGTCAGAGAGGGGATACATGCAAGGCAGGTGGCTCAGAGCTGGGAACTGTGCTGACCCAGGTGGTAAGTGGGTGCTGCAGAGCGGCTCCCAACTCACTTCCTCTTGTCTTCACTCCCTCCTCCTCTCTTATCACAAGGGCATCCTTGGAGCTCCCCGAAATGTGCCAGGCACACTCCAGTCTCAAGGCCTTTGTGTCCCTGTGTTACTCTTTCTCCAGATGTCTTCATGGTTAACTCCCTTAGCAATCTTTGGTTTCCTCTCTAACATCTTAGGGAGGCCTTCCTCTGACTACCTTGTGGAACATTCCAGTCTCCTTTTAGCAATCCTTCTCCTCTCCTACCCACCACCTGATCAGGGTCTGGATTGTACTTATAGTACTACCCATGAATTCTCGCTTCTACCAGCTTGCTGGCTCCATGAAGGTGGGGACCTTTCTCACTTTATTCCCTGAGGTGGCCCTAGTATCTAACACAGTGACTGGTACCTAGTTTGTGCTCATTAAGTTTTTATTGAATGATCAAGTGTGAGAATGCTAGCTGGATCTGTCTGCACCTCTAGGTGAGGGTCAGGAGCCATAGCTGTTTTCCCAGAGTATGTACTTTTGGATTTGCAGCATGTCATCTGGTGGCTACTCCCTCCCCACACCCCATAGGTGATTCAGCTCTTTTCCTCCGAGCCATTGGAAGTGAAATCCGGGACCAACTGGCTCTGCCCTGGGTACCGCCTCTTCTTCGCACCCCCAAGTTGCAGTACCTCCAGGTAGAATCTCCAACTCTTGTGTGTTCTACGCTTGTCCTGCCTTGCTTTTCTTGTCCTTATCCAGTTGTGCAGGTTGTTGGCCCTCTCCTACCAGTGACCCGTCACTCTTTGTCCTGGAGGCTCTGATTCTGCTCTCCCCCGCAGGGCTCAGCCACCCAGCAACCTTTCCATGTCAGCAGGCTGGTCCTGCCTGAGCAGAGTTCCAGAGAAGGTGAAGCTGAGGTCGTGGGGAGGCTGGGGAGGAGAGGCCATCTGGGTCAGACTGGCACCATGCTGGATGGGCTGACTGACTCTGTTCCTGTCTTCAGAGTTGTGGGAGTTCCAGGAGAGTTCCCTGCTGCTACCAGCCCTCACACAGGTACCCCAGCCTGCTGGGAGGGCAGCTTCGCTCCTCGAACGCCATGCCATCCAGCTCTGCCAGCACGTGGGCCGTGACCGTGCAGGGGATGAGGACTGGGTGCGCAGGGCGCCCCGCCTTCCACCCCAGGTACTACCCCATCTTGGCTCCTTGTTGCTGAGACTTCTGCTCCTGGTGACTCCAGTTTTGTCTCCTGTTGGCTTCTGCCCTCCCCATTCCCCTCTTAATCCCTTTCTTCAACTGCTTCCCCTCTGTGTGCACCTACCTGGCTCCCCACTAGAAAGAACACTGGAGTCAGAAAGACTGAACCTGAGACCAGTCCATATCCCTCCTCAAGGCCTTGTTTCCTGTTCTGAAAAATGGGGTAGTGATAGTGTGGGGTGATCCTAACCCCCTGGGGCAGTTGGCATGGATCGCCTTTCTCCTTGTCTCCACCACTTTCTTCTGTCCCTTAGCCTGTCACTCTTTCTCTGTGCTTGTCAGTAATGCTCATGGTTTCTGTCTTTAGGTTTCTGTATGGTGTCTTCATTTGTGTCACTTCTCTCTTTGCCTCTGTGTACTTATTTATCTGTCCTCCTCCCTGTCTGTCCACTTCTTTATCTGTTCCCTCTCCCCTACCATGTCCACCTCTTTATCTGTCCTCTCTTCCCATATTCCTCTCTGCCCACCCCTGTATCTGTCTCTTTCTGTCTGCCTCTGCCTCCCTGGTTGCCATTTGTTTCATCTTTATCTCTGTCTCTCTTTTATGAATTGATAGGAATTTTAATGTCAAAGTAGAGAGAATTCTATGTACCATTTACCAGTCTTTCTTCTTCTATTTTCCCTCAGCCTTTCTCTCTGTATTAATATTCTCTCTCTCTCTCTCTCTTGTTCTCGCTCTCACTCTCTCATTACTGGGGACTGAACTTGGCCCTGTGCTTGCTGGGAAGGTGTTCCACCACTTGAGCCATGCCAGCAGCCCTTTTCTGTATTATTTTAAACCACATCCCAGGGCTGGAGATCTAGCTCAGTGGTAGAGGGCTTGTCTAGTGTATGCAAGGTGCTGGGTTCCATCCACAGCACCAAAACTCAGCAAATCTAAAGTATCATATAATTTCAACTCTAACTACTGTTTTTTCTCACAGGGATATTTATTTAGATATTTAGATATTTATTTGAGACAGGGTCTCACCAAGTTGCCCAGGCTGGCTTCCAGCTCGATATCCTCCTGCCTCAGCCTCCCAAGTGCTGGACCTAGCACATTTATTTTTTTTTAATATAACCACTGGGCCATTTCCCACCTAATGAGATTAACAGTGATCTCTTAGTACCGTCTATCACTGAGTTTGTAAGCAGATTTTCCCAGTTGTCTTGCCACTGTGTGTTATTGTCTGTCCTTCATCTCTCTTTCCTCGACTCTGCCCCTTTCTCTGCCTGGCATCTTTGATTTTGCCTTTGCTGTCCCACACATCTGTTGTATGTCTCTCTCTTTCTCTCTCTGATTTGGAAGCTCCAGGCTTACTTCTCTCTCTTCTCACATCCTTCTCCAGGGTGAGGAATGAGTGGGTGAAACAGTGTGGCAGTGAGGAAGAGGCACCTCTTTGTCCCTGGGGAGATCCCAGGCCTGCTTGAGGAAGGCTGGTGGGTGGGTGTGACTTATCAGGTGGCCCCTGGAGGAGGAAGGGCCTTGGGGGACACTAGGCCTCCACACCCTCCTGTTCCCTTGCCTGTTTTTTCCAGGAGGATCCCCGAGCTCCTTGGCAGCGGCTGCAGAAGCAGCTGGTCGAGCATCTGCGTCAAAGTTGGGGCCCACTTGGGGCCCCACGACAAACCCGAGACCTGGGAGAGTTGCTGCAGGCCTGGGGTGCTGGACCAAAACTGGTGCCCCCAAAGGCTCCGCTTCACACATTCAGAAAAGTTTGCCTTCCACCTGGTAGGTAGTCCTGAGTGGACATGGGGTGTGCTGACAGGGTGTGGGTAGCTCAAGGGTTAGCTTTATGTTAAAAGCCACCTTTATCTACATAGGTTCCCCTGTGTCCACTGGGAAGGCCCCCCTTCCAATTGGAGAAGGGTGCCCAGAGGGCTTTCTTAGCTTCTGGGGACTTCAGTGGGACCCACGTGCTGGACCGTGGTGTTCCTGTCACTTTCATCTGGGCACAACTTCTCTTGGACACTCCTGCAGAGAGGCCTCTGTTTTCATGGGCATTTGGGGGAAACAGCTCAGGGTCAGGGAGATTTCCCCAGGGGCAGCCACTCTAGTCTCAGAGAGAGGTCTCAGAGAGTTGCTTTCAGCCTGTAGTCACAATCTGAGCCCTCAGTGGCTGAGTGCTAGGGGTGTTTTAGGGCTTTGAGGCTGAGCCACAAGAGGCAGGGCCTTCTGTGATGGCCAGGATGCCCCTCTTCATGCCCCTAGGAGCCCCAGGCTCAGGCAGCCCAGGTGGCAGATGCTCCGGCCAGCTCCCGGTGGCCTGAACAGGTAAGCAGAGCAGTGGGGCAGTGGGGGGGGGATGGTGCTAGGCCCTTGTCTGTCTACTGGGCCTGATACCTCCATCTCAACTGGCCTGTGCCTCCCAGGACACCAGGGCAGCTCAAGAACAGGAACTAGAGTCCCTTCGGGAGCAGCTGGAGGGTGTGAATCATAGTATTGAAGAGGTTGAAGCAGACATGAAAACCCTGGGAATCAGTCTTGCACAGGTGAGGGGCTGGGGCAGACCAGGAGTAGGGCCTTGAGGGGCCTGAGGTTCCTGTAGAGGTATGCAGATGCCAGAGGGGTTTCTAGGGGACATGGTGGGCACAAAGGGGCATGCGGGGTTGGTGATTTGGCGGCCCTGTAGGGGTTAGAGGCCCCTGTGGGCATCATTTGGGCCTTGTGGGCATTGGTGAGGCAAGATGGCTCTGGGCATGGGCTTGGGCTCCTTGGGGCTCATGACTATCCACATGGAGCTGGAAAGTCAGAGCGGCCTGTGAGGTCTGGAGGCCGTATAGTTATCTGTAGGGTTTGGGGGTGGTATGTGACTGGGACCCGGGCTGCCCGTGTGCCAGGTGGAGACCGAGTGTCGGCAGAGTGAGCTCAGCACAGCAGAGCGGGAACAGGTCCTTCGCCTAAAGAGCCGGGCTGTGGAGCTGCTTCCTGATGGGGCTGCAAACCTTGCCAAGCTGCAGGTGGGCTGGAACTGAGGCTGAGGCCAGATTGGGAGGGTGGGGTTGGATGGGCCCAGCCTGTGTGACATGTTCCCCTCATTTCTGCCAGCTTGTGGTGGAGAGCAGCGCCCAGCGGGTCATCCACCTGGCGGGTCAGTGGGAAAAGCACCGGGTTCCGCTTCTTGCTGAGTACCGCCACCTCCGAAAGCTCCAGGATTGCAGGGAGGTAGGTGTTGGGGTCCTGGGCCATGAGTGTGGCAGGTCTGGTACCTCCCTAGGGGGCTGTCCCTGAGCTCTGCCCATGGCTCCTGGCAGCTGCAATCTTCTCGACGGCTGGCAGAAATCCAGGAGCTGCATCAGAGTGTTCGGGCAGCTGCAGAAGAGGCCCGCAGGAAGGAGGAAGTCTATAAGCAGCTGGTAAAGCCTGTGCAGGGGCCCTAGGTGGTGAGGGTAGGGGGGTGCAGGTCATGGGGGAATGCCTGCCATGTCCCTGCCCAGGTGTCAGAGCTGGAGACTCTGCCAAGAGATGTGTCCCGGCTGGCCTACACGCAACGTATCCTGGAGATTGTGGGCAACATCCGGAAGCAAAAGGAAGAGATTACTAAGGTACACCACTGTGGTCCTGGGGTGGGTCATAGGGGCAGACAAGGCACAGGGTGGCCACGCAAGGGATCTTATGGTCTCTGATAGGCAGAGCTGTCCAGCCACACCCTGACACGGAACAGTCACACACAGTCCACCCAGCCACCCCAACACAGTAACACAGGCCTTCAGTGGGTATGAATACATGCGCACAAGTACCCTCTCTGGCCAGCCACCCTGCTCTTGACATTTGCTTATGGCCACCCTGGTGTCTGCCAGATTTTGTCTGACACAAAGGAGCTTCAGAAGGAAATTAACTCCCTCTCTGGGAAGCTGGACCGGACATTTGCCGTGACTGATGAACTCGTGTTCAAGGTGTGGGACAGGCTGACCCGGTAGGAGGGTAGGGGTGGGGCTGGGCTGTTGCCTGCCCATCTGCTCACAGGCTGGCTTGGCCCTGGGCCCTCTGCAAGCCTGTAGACACACTGCTGCCCAGGCCTGGCTTTTCTCTGTGGAGGGTGAAGGCAGGAGATGAGCAAGAGTGGCTCTGTGGGGCATGGAGGTGGTGGGGAAGGCATGGGTGGCCCACTGATATCTTTAAGGGCCCCTCTGCCTGGTCAGGATGCCAAGAAGGATGATGCTGTTCGGAAGGCCTACAAGTATCTAGCTGCCCTGCATGAGGTGAGGAAGCAGCATGCCCGGAGGCAGGGCTGGCTAGGGAGGGCTGGCATGGGTATAAGCCTTCTGCTCCTACTATCCCCAGAACTGTAGCCAGCTCATCCAGACCATTGAGGACACAGGCACTATCATGAGAGAGGTTCGAGACCTTGAGGAACAGGTGAGGACTGCACATGGGCAGGGAAAGTGGGGCAGGGGCAGCTTTAAGCCAAGTGAGGCTGTGGGACCAGACAGCCCACCGCGAGCGGCTCAGCGCTGCCCCTTAGTGCCTGTGCCTGTGCCCTGGAACTGGCTAGTGGCCTACTCTGAGCCCTCCCTGGCTTCTACCCTGAGGGTCCTCATGCCTCCTTCCCAGAGCTGATGGCTTGAGCATGTTTTGGGTGGAGAGAAGGACATGTGTAGAGGCCTGGTGGGTAGGAAGGAGCAGGCTACCCTGCTCCAGGGGGCGGGAGGGGCTGTAATGGAGAGGGTGACCAGCATGGGTGAGGAAAGGGGCCCTGTGTGCTGAGGGCGTGGGCATCATGTTGCCTTAGATCGAGACAGAGATGGGCAAGAAGACCCTCAGCAACCTGGAGAAGATCTGTGAGGACTACCGAGCCCTCCGGCAGGAGAATGCTGGCCTCTTGGGCCGGGTCCGGGAGGCCTGAGGAGCTCTGATGGAAGTTCCGCACGCCACGGGCAGAGATTTGGAGTGCTGGAGGCCGTGTCTAAGCACTTGCCCTAGCTCCTCCCTCTGCTTGCCATCCAGTTCTTCCTGCTGGGGCCTTAGACCCAGGCATGTGCCCACCTGGCCCCAACCCTGAGTGGGGTGATTGTCCAGCATGCGGGGCTCAGCTGCAGTTTATTGGGTGGGCACTGGGGGCTGGGGGCCATGGATCCCAAATAAAAGATGGGCTCTCCTGCACTCTAGGCTGAGGCATGGATTGGGCTCAGGGCAGGGGAAGGGGTGGTGACAAGTGAGACATGGAGTAAATTTTGGCCAGTGAATGTCTTCATGGGACTTGGAGACACAGTGTGTGTGGGGGGGGGCTTGTGTGTGCACACATGCAGGTGAGTTCTAATAAGCTGTGTCTGTGACTTGGCATTTGTGTTGGTGGCTGCACAAGACTGTGCATGATACTTAAGTGTCTGTGTGGCTTTCTGGGCCTGTGATCTTAAGGGTACTGTCACTGCTCTTCGCAGGGGTCTTGGCACACCTCTATGTGACACTGGCTTCCTGTGAGCCTGGAGGCTGACAGGGTGCATGCTTTGAGTGTGTGAGTTGACAGGATTGTCTGGTCATCTGTGTGACTGCAGCTTTGAGGGTGTTTGAGTGTATTGAGGCAGGCTCTTTGTGTTTTAGGGTTTGGGTGGAGGATTGTGACTGTGTCTGTGTCACTTTCCCACCCTGAGGCCATCTGTGAGAGTGGCTGAGGCAGGCTGTGTGTGTGTGGCTGGCTGCGTGAGGGCTCTGTTTGGCTGGAGGGCCCATCTCTAGGGCTGGGGTGGGGGTGGGGGCTAGGCTGGGGCTGGGACCCCTCCGAGCAGCCTTGGGGTGGAAGATAAGATCCAGGAGGACAGCCAGCTGGAAGTAGACACCCTGGCAGGCAAGACCATTGATACCTCACTTCCTGGTCTTTAAAGGCATGTCCAGGACCTGTCACCCCTGCCCCACCCCCACCTCCCCTCATTTTGGCCCCTGTCCATCTTTCCTCCTTTCTTTGGTTATGAGGTCAGGGGCCAGGTGTAGGGTTGGAGCACCTGCTAGGCCTCTGGCTCCTTTTCTTGCGGACTCAAACTCATCCACGGTCCACACAGCCCCTTTCTCACTCTCCACCCGCACAAAGCACTTGTGCAAGCTCAGGTTGTGGCGGATAGCATTCTGTGGAAGGAGGACCAGGCAGTCAGGCAGGGCAGGGGCTAGGGCAGGGCAGGCAGTCACCCACTGAGGGCAATAGACCCTTCCAGCCCCAACCTCCTGCCTCTTCTCCCAAGTGCCTCCTAGCCCAGCCCCAGGTCTGCCTGCTGCTGTGCTGCGGTAGCACTTGAGGCCATCCCAGCCACTGGCACCTCCAGTGGTGCTCACCTTCCAGGTAGCAGGGTGGTTTCGGAAGAAGGCAAACATGCGTGTGAACCAGTGGTAGATTTCATTGAGCGTCCGCTGCTTCTCAGGAGCCTCCAGGATGGCCTAGATGGTGGAGTGGGGTGGAGTGAGGAGAGTAGCCCCCAACGTCCAGGCTAAGAGGGGCAACCTGTTCTGTCTCACTTGGGGGTGGAATTGTGGGAGCAGGGGAGGGGAGGGAGAGATGACATGGCATGGAGCACAGGTTAGAAATGGTGTGGGCATCTGGAAAGGGGTGCATTTGGGCTCAGAATGTGTCTTGTACTGGCCTGGCTGGTGGTTTTGGTCTGAGTTTGGGGACAGGTCTGGGGTGAAGCCAGTGGGAGGGAAGCTTGGGGCTCCTCAAAGGGAGGTGGCAGTTTGGAAGGTAGGACCCTCCTTTTTTCTCTTCATCCTCCTTGGGCCCACGCTGCCCTGCTTACCCAGCGGATGAGGGTGGCATAGGTGAAAGGGGGCCGCATGTTGTGGAACTTGAAGTAGTCCATGTTATGGAAGAACTCTGGCAGAGGATGGGGATGAGTCAGGCCCCATCCAACATCTCCTAGCTCTGTGTCCTGCCCTCCCCTACGATGTGAGTCCACTGGCCTCGAATTCCACCATCAGTACACAGGTGGTCTCACACAGGTATTGTTTGCTGAGTACCTGACACATGCCCACAGGGTCCTCCCTGAGGTTGAATGGAAGTGATGTAGCTTACCCCCCAAGGCATATAAGGGGTCAAGTGGCACATCCAGGATGACAGTTGGGGCTCTGATCCCTGTTAAACCCACCCAGCCTGGCAGGTGGGAGAGGATTGGTGAGCTTGGGGGAATCTACACAGCTTTTCCTTGGCATGGGGTGGAAGGGAGGGCCCTTAGGAATTACTTAGCTAGGCTCCTCCCTTCTGATTACCAAATGGAGTAGCTGAGGCCCAGAGTGGGTAAGACATGACTTCAGTCTCCAAGGAGGACAAGGCTGCGGCTAGACATTTGCCACCACAATGGGGGCTCCCAGTCCATGGAAATCCTGGGAGGAATTTTCTTGCAAAAAGGTACATTGCCCCCAAGGCTAGGTGGTGGAGAGGGGCAATATGGACCTCTCCTCCCTCGCCCCATGCCAGACCAATCTTACCTGGGAAGGTGCTGTTGCCATGGCTGCCCCAGAGGTGCCTCCGCACAGCAAACAGGCCGTCTGAGGCGTCCTGGGGGCTGGGCCAGGGTGGGACAACGCTGCCCTGTGTGCCAGATGCTACGATGCAACAGGTACCCTTGTCTGATGGTACCTAGGATAGGCAGGAGGGGCTGGTGACCCAAAGGCTTAAACTTTCCATTTTATTTTAAAATTGGTGTTTTTATTTATTTATTTTGTAAGGGAGAATCTTGCTGTGTTGTCCAGGCAGGTGTTGAACTCCAGCACTCAAACAACCCTGCCTCAGCTTCCTGAGTAGCTGGGACTACAGGCAGGCCGGACTGTGCCTGGTTTAAATCAATGTGTGTGTGTGTGTGTGTGTGTGTGTGTGTGTGTGTGTTTTGTGGTGCTGGGGACATAACCCAGGTTCTTGCACATGCTAGGCAAGCACTTTATCTCTGATCTACCTCCCAAGACTGTTTTTAATTTTTTTTTTTTGAGACAGAATCTCAGTGTATAGTCTACGCTGGCCTTGAACTAACAATCTGCTTTAGCCTCCCGAGTACTAGGATACAGGCATGTGCCACTATGCTGGGCCTAAATCAGTGTTTTTAAGAGCAAGGGCACCCTCTTGTGTATTGCAGTCTGCTGTGGAATTCCACAAAGCAGTGTGAGCCATATTGGTTACAGTATAGGGGTGGGCACACTGTGTACTCACAAATGCTGGGGTCATGAGCCAGTGCTGAATCAGGCTCCCCTGACTGTGTGACTTTGGTAGAGTCAACTATACCTTCTTGGCCTCACCTGTCCTCATCTGTGAATTGGGATAATAATGGTAGCTACCTCACGGTGGCATCATGAGGCTTGAATAAGTTAACACCACCAGAGTACTCAGAAATAGTGCCTGGGGCCCAGGGTTGGTGTTGTGGGTGTGTGACTTGTGTGGCTACACAGGACCCCACACTTTAATGGTCTGAGGTTGTTATCTTGAAATTTGAATGCAGGGCCTCACCTTGTCCTTTTGCACTGGGCCTGGTGAGTTATGTAGCTGGTGCTGTGGGGGCCCACAGCCTGCCTTCTATAAATGCTACTTGCTATTGATTTGAAAATACAGAATCATGATGTTTCTAGATCTAGGGTCAGAGCATTTGTTTGTTTGTTTTGGCAGTACTGGTCTTTGAACTCAGGCCTCATGATTGTTAGGCAGGCACTTTAGCCATTCCATCAGTAGGATTAGAGTGTTGTAAATGGAGGGGAGATATCCCCAGTTCAGGCACATGAGGAACTGGGGTGTCCTGCTCCCCATGGGGCCTCCCCTGCCCAGCAGTCCAAGTCTAGGGGCCTGGGGTGACTCACCGCAGTTGGTCCTTGGGAAGTGCCATTTTTTCCAGCCAGGTGGGCCTGCATAGCACCTAGCTTCTCCTTTTCCAGTTCCAGCTGTGGGATGGACAAAAGTGAAGCCTCCGCCTGACCTTTCTCTGCCACACCTTTGCCCAGGGTAGGGCCTTCCTTGGGAGCGTTCTGCCCCCAGCCCCTCTCCTTCCCTTTAGGTGAGTCTGATTCCTGGCATGGGTGGGCATGAGGCTCACCCACCATTCTCCATTCCCCTGCCCCCTGTGGGCCTTACTTGCTGCTCCAGAGTCTGCACCACCTCTCTTTGGAGAAGACACTGTGCCCTGCCCTTTTCATCCAGGAGGTGGTCCACCTGGCAGTGCCTGGGTAGGGGAAGAGATTCCGTGCAGCTGACCATGGTGACCCTGGCCTTCTGGCTCAGTGCTTCAGTTGGGGACAGCCCAGACCCATTGGGAGATCTCTCTTCAAAACTTGAGCTCCCTTCCCTCTCTCCCTCAGACTCCCTCAACATGTGCCCCTTAGCACCTTCTGTCTGCCAGGCCCAGCTCATCCCTTGAGCCTGACCAGGGTGTTGGAGATGATGTTGGAAGGGTAGTGAGAGTGGGAATGACATTCCAGGTGGAGGGGACAACCTGTGCAAGGCCGAGCCGTGAAGAGGGCAGGACATATTGAGTTGTTGCTAATAGTTGGGTATGATGAGAGGAGAGGAGGTATGTGTGGGAGGGGGAAAGGGGGATGGGGTGTGGAGGAGCCAAAACAGCTATTTAGAGGAGCTGCCAGGCCTGGCTTGTCCCTTGAGCCTGGCCAGAAGTATTCGATGATGTTGGAAGGATGGTGAGAGTGGAAATAACATTCCAGGTAGAGGGAATTAGTAACGTGCTGTGTTGGCATGAGGGGTAGCAGGGCAAAGCACTTAGGAGTGTGGATTCTGGAACCTGGATGCCTGGGTTCAAATCCCAGCTCTGTCACTCAGAACAGAGTGATTTTTTTTTTGTCTATGGGATTTGAACTCAGGGCCTCATGCTTGCTAGGCAGGCACTCTATCACTTGAGCCATGCCTTCAATAGAGGAACTGGTGATCTTGATTAAGAGACTTTGTTTGGTCTCAGTTCCCTTGTCTGTAAAATGGAGGTAAATCAGTCACACCTTTATTATTATGTTTCCATTGTAATATATGAGGAAAACTGAGGCCAGAGAAGGTAAGTCACTTTGCCCAAGGTCATACAGCCAGGGAGTGATAATAGATAGGATTTTATCTTTCATCTTAGTACCTATCTGGAGGGAGCCTGAGTTGACATCTGTACCCCAGACTTCTGCCTGCCCCAGAAGCCCTGGACTGGACTAGACTGGCTGGGGCCACTCACTTGAGAAAGTCCTCTGGCTCCTTGAAGATCTTCTCACATCCGGGCCACTTGCAGACACCATTTACCAGCAGTGGTAGGACCCCGGGGGTGTGGTCGAAAGGGTGCTGGGGGAACAGAGGGTGTTAGGGAAGGGGACAGCAGGGTGAGAGGGTCTTCCAGGCCCTGCCTACTGACCTGTCCTTCTTGGACACACTTGGGCTTGGGAAAGTACAAGAGCAGGGCTGGCTCCCTGACACCACTCCAGACTGGCCACAGTTAATCCCTGTGGGTAGAGTCAGGACGCTTGGAAGGCTGCCAGGCCAGGCTGTGCAGCTTGGCCCACAGGCTCCTCCCTGTCCCAAGTCTCGAGGACCCTGACTCTCAAGAGACTGCTGTCCCCACAGTTCAAGGCTTCTGGCAGAGCAGCTCAAAGACAGCCAGTGGCAAGTACTGACATTTTGATTAACGTGAAGATCTGTGGTTCTGTAATTTTGACATTCTGCATCTTCAGGGTTCTGAACCTGACATTTTTTGGAGGTTAGAGTTTCCATGACTCTTCAATCTGACCCCTCAGACTGCCAGAGGGCTGCAATTCATAACAGTCTAGACTGTGCATGTTCAGACATCTGGGGACTTTGGGGTTCAATGAAGCCATGGGGATATGGACTGAGGTGTTACCAGGTGGCAGGCCAGGCCGGGCCTTGAGGGAGAAAGATCCCGGTGTGCTGGTTGGGTGGTGGAAAGTGATCATGGCTGGGCTGTCCAGTGGGCGCAGCTGTAGTACAGGGCTCCGGTTTGAGCATCCCCTGTGGAGAGCTGGAGGACACATAGGGGCGATGGCTTTAGCCTGGCTCCAGACTCCTTCCTCCCCATAGTCCTCCCACCTTGCTCCCTCCCCCTGGCCCCTTCAGGTCTGTACCTGGTGCATGAAGTGTGGTCTGTCCTGGAGAAGTGCCTGCAAGTGGGGTGAGGGCCCCAGCCGGGCCCCAGAGGGTGGCCACCATGACTAAGGGCACTGTGGGCAGCTGGAGGGAGAAGGCAGGCTGCCATGAGATGCCACCCTCATCCTCACTGCTTTTGGATCTAATTCATCTGTGCCTCACCATAGCCGCATATGGTAGTACCAAGATCTATCAATTTACACATGTAGAGACAGGCTCATGGGGATTGAGTGATTTTTTTTTAAGATCAAAGTTAAAAGTGGCAAGCTGGCCTCAACCTGTCACCTCACTTTTTTGAGCCCCAACTGTCTCTCTTGTCTCAGGGGGATGAGGACACCTGGCTATGCCTACGGACCAGGATAGGGTCTTCTCCTCTCCCAAGACAGGGATTCGGAGGTCATGGAGAGCCTTCGAATTCTGAGGCCTAGCAAGTGGGGGACTTCCTTGGCCCTGCAATATCTGCATAAGTCACAGACTTTTCTGGGACCTAGAAACCACTTCCTGTTGCCCCAGCCGCTCCTCTCCCACCCTGTGCCACGGTAAAGGTCGGCACCTGTAAGTCCCAGGTACCCCACCCTGTTGGCCCCATCGTGGTCCCTGGGCCTCACCTGCAGCTGCGATGATGCATGGGGGTCAAGGAAGGAGGAGGAGGTGGCAGCAATGGGTCCCACCTCGAGGTCCCGGCCCTGGAAAGTACCCCCAGGACCCCTGGCCCCAGGAGGTCTGAGGCCTTGGGTGCAGCCTTCAGCTGGTGAGGCTCCTGGAAATGGGCCGAGGGCAAGGAAGGGGCCGTGGGCTTGGCTGGCCTGGGGTTGGGCATTGGGTCCTTGGTTTTGAGAGCAGGCTGTGGGAAAAATAGGGGGGAAGGAGTAGTGTGAATATATTCATCCAACTGGACAACATGGACAATCCCTCTGGCACAGAGCAGGTGTTGCCTGGGGTCATTCTTAGGGCCCATAACCACAGCCCAGATCTGGTGCCCTCCCATCCCGGTCTTCTTTTTGTTCCCCCTCTGCCCCCAAATTGGCATTAGGAACATAGGCATATGTGTTTAACCGCCCCCACCCACAAATGGGTCCAGCACTGGGCTCACCAGCACACACTGGCACCACCCTGTTGAGATGCTTTCTCCAGCACAGTTATAGATGATAGGTTTGTGGGATCTCAGCCCTCTGGTACTCCCTGAACCTGCACAGGACATGTAGCCTTTGCTGGTTCTGCAGAACTGGCCTTGGACTGTCTCCTGGGGGTGGTTATTTTACCCAGTGGACTTGGCCAAGGACTCAAAAGAATCATCTGTGCTGGTGGCTCACACCTGTAATCCTAGCTACGCGGAGGCAGAGATTAGGAGGATTAAGGTTCGAGGTCAATCTGG